TGCTGCGGGAATGTTATATTCTAGCTGAAGATTTTCAGGCTAGAAGCCACAGTGGAAAAAGTGCCAGATAAGTGGCTGATAAAGCATTTAATAATGTGACACTGTGTGAAAGAGGTTACTTGATTTTTTTTTTTGGACTAGTTGATGCTTCTCGTTTGGCTTCTGTTCAGATTTGGAACAGAACTCCAAACTTCAACGTTGTCCACAAAAGCCTGGGCAGCCTGGCACCCCATTTGACAAGCTGGCCCGTTGCTTAAAAGCCCTGAGGTCCCCAGCAGGCTATGGCGTGAGTTGCTGAGCAGCGTAAAGGGTGGCAGCAACCTTGAAGGAAGACAAGTTTTCTGGTGACAGTCTGCTTGAACTGGTAGAATTTAGGAAGGCCACAGACAAATTTTTCAGAGAAAAATTGCAAAAAAATAATTCCATCTCTACAAAATGTTTAAATTTGGAAAGTGGCAAATTTCTGCATAAGAAAGGATTTCAATTTAATCTTTTCCGAGTAGCTCTCGTAGACACTGTGGTTTCTGAATAATGTGAATAATAGTTTTCTTTTACAAAACCTGTTCAGCTTAAATATGAATAACTAAATATGAATAACTAAAGCTGGGAGCTCTGTAATGGCATTGCATTACTGTCATCTCCAGGTGTTAATTACAATAAGCTGTCCCACCCACTTTTAGAAGCAGATAGACAGGAGGAGAATGGAGGTCTTTGGAGCTGGGAGAAACGAAGCGGCATAAGCAAGGGGAGAAGAATAAATGCTGAAACATGCACTTCTGGGTTAAGCACAGCTGGGAGCTGTGGTAATAGAGATATCAGAACCCTTTCCTGGGAGTTAAAATGGTTTAGAGTTATTTAAAATAAGGTAAACAATAAAGGACAGGCTAGCTGCACTGATAGGTGTGCTTAATGCTAAGCTGCCTGGGAGATGCCGCCTGCCTCAGCATTTGGAAATTAATTGCTTGGGCTCTGTAAGCACTTGAGCAAAGTGAAAGTGGTGATGTGGTGGGTGATAACTTGAAGCAGCGTTTAAAAAGAAATCAGATGGAGAGAAATATAGGAAAGAACGATACTGAGGTTAAGAGCCATAGTGAGAAATAAGCTCCTGCTTTCCTGTTTCACTTCTCCTCCCCCTTCTCCTCCTAGCTTCTGCTGCTGTGTCAATAGCAGTGGGTGGCTTGGAGCAAATGGTTTCTAAAGTCAGCCCCCTCCTCCCTGCTCTGCTCCCAGAGCTTGGGCAGAGAGCAGGAGAAACCCCTTGCAGCTTCTTGGGGGACTTGGAAAGGAGCGTACCACCCCTGCCATGCTGACGCTGGTTCGTTACAAGTGAACATCACTGGTAGGATCCCAGATTCCTTATGGTACGTACCATATTGGGAGGACGGCAGAAGCCTGTGGTGATCACTTACCACAACCACTAGCTTTGCTTGGTTTAACTTTTCCCAGTCTCTTTGATGAAAAGTGCCAATTAGAAAATCTCTAAAATTAGTTTCTCTACATTTTGAAGCTGGCTGTAAACGGAGCTGCTATTTTTTTTTTTTAAATCCATTAAGTTTACATAAAACTTGCAGAGATGGCAATCTCTAGGGCTTGTTTCTGACTGCTAGAATTATGAAATAAATACTTTGTCACTGGGTATTAAATTACTCATGGGTACCAGTTAGTGAAACAGAGTGCCAGTAATTCAGCTCCAGTTAGGTAAGAATCTGTGGAAGAAAATAATGCTGAAAATGTAAACTTCTGTATTAATAAATGCAAGAAAACCACCCAATATTGACACTTTCCTTAACTGAGTCAGACTGAACTCCTCGAATGTGAAAGAAAAGGCCAAACTCAGGCTTTCAAAGTAGCTTTGTAATTGCCAGTTGTTTTAAATGAGAGAATAAGGTAGAAAAAAGAAAGCTTACATCTCAGAGTTACTGTTGCTAGAATTTTGCACTCTTTAAAAGTAAAACGTAGTCATCGACAGGAAGGTGTATGTCCTGTTCTTCTCTTGCATAATTTCAGCAGCATAACTAAAAGGGATGGCTGTGTGCTGGCTCCTTTTTCTGTGCACCAAAGAAAGACAAAATTGTTTATTCTCAGCATCAAAGGAAATCAAAACCAGAAGCCATATATTTACTGGGGGACTGAGACATGAGAAGTGATGATGCTTTTTTTCCCTGCTGCTTCCTGTCATAATTATTTCCATTTTATTTCATGAGTGTATTGCATGGTGGAGGGTTATGCATGGAAAAGTGCAGTAACCCGAAGCGCCTTGGCTCTCTCACACTTGCAGACTTTCTGAGATGCCTTCTGGCTAAAAGTGCCCCTGACGGTCACATTTCCAAACGATTTCTTCTCCGTGCTAGCGATATGGACGGGAGGATATTCTGTTTAAAAAAATTATCTAGCCAGTACCAACTTAGCCTTTCGAAAGTATCATCTGTCCTGCAGTAACTGTTTCTTGAATTTGGAGAGTGGTTCATGCAGTTGCTGTTCTGCAGTGGCTGCTGTAATGTGGATTTCCAGAAGTAACATAACTGGAGGGACTGAAAAGCTCAATTTTTGGAGACTTGCTCATGATTCTTGATTATAACAATGTCCTACGTTACTTTGGAGAGAGATTACAGAATACTGGAGAGAAAAAGAGTAGGAAAAGTGTGTAAATTTGGACTTTGTTAAGGGGTGGGATAACCACACTCTGGTATTGTATGGATTTTCTTAAAATCAAACTGAGCTCTGACCATAATAGTACAGGGTCACGTCTTCTGCTGCCACAGGCAACAGCGCTGTACAATCCTGTCCACAAACGTTCCCGTCTCCGTGTGCCTTCTTCAGATCCCTTACGGTTTGCCTCACTTTTGGTTTTCCAGGTGCATCGGCTACCTGTGCAGGACTGCCACAAATATTCAGACTGTGAGAAGTGTACTCAAGCGAGGGATCCGTACTGCGGCTGGTGCGTGAGAGAGGGCAGGTGAGTGCTGCCGGTGTTCTCTCAGGTGCAGGCAGTGGAATAGCTCAAATTTTGGCATGTGCTGTGGGTTACTGCTTGGCATAGCAGTCCCAGCTTTTTGTACTCAGCCTTATGCTCCTGATAGTGATTTAATTTTCTCATGCAGACATTGATATCAATCTTCTGTGCACACAAATAAGTCCTCATTGACTTCTGCAGATTCAATTAATTTGGGAAAATGTATACTTTTCTGCTGGTACTGAAAATCAGTGTACATCTTCTAACTGCATGTATTATCACTCTCTGAACTGTACAGTCAAATGTTCTCCCAGGAATTAAAAGAGTGCTCCTATTTAAAATTCAGAAAATATAGCATACATTTTAAGTAGAGCAGGAAAGTGTAAAACAGAGCATAAGAGAAAAAACTGTTCATGTCTGAAATAAAGTATATAGCTCAAACACTGTTTTTATATAAATGTCTTCTATCAAGACATGTAGCTACACTGAACCCTCACCTAACTGTAGGAGAGCAGAAAGTGGCATTTGGCTGACTATCTACAGAGGTTAACTGAATTAATATTCAAGCATATGTAAACTAGGACAGCACTGAACAGCTCTGAAATGTCTCTTCTTTGCGCTCTTCATTGATTGGAGTGGCGAGAGGGAAGAGCGATAAGTTAATTAACCCCTTGGCATGAGCAGTTGGGAATTTGTGATTCTAAGTACTTGCTGTTGGAACAAAGGGGCTATTTAATTATAGTATGCAGATGAATTTCAGGCTTCTAGCTTCCTGTCTGAAAATGTGAACTATCACATTAAGTTACCTATCAGCCTGATATGTAGCTTAATATGGAGCACTGCAGAGAAACTTATGCGGTGCATGCAGGTTTATGTAATATACTGCAACTCTTCCAGCCTGGGTTTCAGTTGCTGTGGATGAAAGCTGGGGATTTGGAATATACACCTCCAACTCCTCCTGGGCTGCTGGGAGTTGAAGGCTGTGTCGTATATCATATAAAAGGCAATTTTCCCTAGATTTCCCTTCAGGTTTCTGATATGACCAGTGACCTCCATATCTCAAAGTATTAATGGTCTCTGAGAACAGGCAAACATGAATTTTTGCATTTGCTAGTATTTATTTCCAATGAGGTAAAAAAACCATTTAATTTCTAATGTTTTTCTCATCTGCAGCACGTTCTGTCTCATTATCACACACAGCACTTAATAGTGTGTTTAGGGATATGTTCTATGAACGTAGACTCTGTATGTAAATGATATCTTTAAGGGCAGGGTTGACCAAACTGTGCTGCAACCGCACCGTGTTAAAGCCCCTGATGAGTTAATAGTCTTCTGCTACAGCAGCCAGAAATCCTACAGCATTTTCTCCTAAACTTTGCACAGAATGGAAAGAATATGCATGAGACTGTCCCCACACACACTTCAACAAGCTTTTTGTAGCCGCCTGTGCAGCTTCTGCACTGCAGCATGTCTTCTTTCTGTCCTTCTTGTACGTGAGCTGGGAAAATCTCCCAATATTTTTGGTGAGGCTGCAAAACTGCTGTTGTCTCCCCATAATGGTAATGGTGCACTGGCAGAGAGAGGTCTTAGATAGTGGCAGGAGTTAGTGAAAACATTTGCTACGAAAGTAACACGTCTAGTGCTACGGTTTCACAGCAGCTCTCCACAAGCCTGTGTGTCCCCAGCGATACTCCTCGATGCCGTTTGTACGCTCATGCATCGGGTGCCTTTTTACTGGCAACACATAGCTGTCTGCCACTTCACCTGCAGAAAAACTAAATGGTGCCCACTCACTCATTCAGGAGTTTGTTCTGTATTACAATGAAGATTAATCAGTCTGGTTTCAGATGATAACGCAATGGCTCCATTGCCTGATGGCTCCTGTGCTAAATGTATGGGTTTGGGTTGTCTAATCCAAGGTGGTGTCCAAAATATTATAGGTATATGTTTCCCCACTTGCTTTTGACATCTAAAACCATCAATACTTATTCCTCCACTTATTCTATTAGAAGTTGTCTATTAGCAACCTGAATAGTCAATATTAAAGCAAATTCCCAGTCATCTTGTGTTGTAATTTCGGTCTCTAATCCTGAAATTGTTGTGTAGTTCAGAGAAAGCAGAGTCCAGCTATAATATTGCTTTGCTTTGGTTTTTGTTCCTGTTTTGTCAGGTGCACAAAGAAGGCAGACTGTGGAGCAGCTGATAAGGAGAACCACTGGCTGTGGAGTCCAAGTGGCACATGCATGACTATCATTAGTGCAAACCCTCTAAATATGAGTCGCAGAGCCCCTGCAAAGGACAGTGATGTGACTACCAGGAAGATGAATATCTGCATTTCTTTATGCACAGTGGTGACTAGGAATAGGATAGTGTTTTGGGTATCTCAGACTCTGGTGTTTCTCACAGTGCTCTTTCTTGCCTGCTGTTTTTGCAGGTTGCAGTTCATGTTTTCTTCTAAGAAATGCTCTTTTTGACCTTCTCTGTAAACCAAAATGATGCACTAGTATGGATGATAAAGCACTTAGACTTATCTGAATATTATGAAAGTGTTGCACAATGTTGTGTAACCCATAAAGAGAAATTGATAGCAGAGATTTCATGCTGCCCTTTCAGCTTGCTTGAGCATAAACTTAAGTAAGCAGCAAAGCCATAAGCTGTTGCTTTAAAATCAGTGGTGGATTTGCCTACACAGCGAAGTCTGGGTACATGGAGAAGGCAAATTCAGCGTGCAGAATGACTCTGTGGCAACAAAACTGAGTGTTCAGAGTGTGACCAGAGTTGTCATAGCTTGCTCTAACTCCAAATGGAGCATGCCAGTGCAGACTGAGGGCTTCCTGGGGGTGCTCAGCAAGTGAAACCAGTAAAATGTTTTTTAATCCCTCTTAATGAGAAAGAGACTTCAATTCAAGTCAGTTTAATTCCATTCCTAAATGATGTAAACAGCATTGTGTTAAGGCCATTTCTGTGTTGAATAAAAATGTTAGTAGAGTGTAACTAGTCTACTTAAAATCCACAACTTCTCTTAGTTCAGATTTTCTCAACTTGTGTTGACAAGTCTCTGGTGTCTCACATCAGCATCTGAGGCCAAAATACTTAAAAACAAAAACCAAACCCAACTTGAAATGAGCATTTACATGCTGCCTGTGCCATCGCTAATGCTGCTGTCTCCTCATGATTCCTTTACTCACCAAAGAACATTGCAGCTTGTAACATAGTGGACTGGTGTCAGTGTGAAAGAGATGATTGTCATTTCTATTGGCAATACAAAATGGAAAAAGTTAAAGTGTATAATTAACACACCTAAAGCATGAAATCAAGGACAGCATCCAAAATTTCATTTCAATTTTTTCCACTTTCCGTGCTAAATTTTCCCATTTTATTTTGCTTTTAGTTTCTCACATGCACTCCGCATTGATAATTTCCTCAAGGAGGTTAAGATCTCACCATCACTCTTTCAGAAATCCTTTTTCAGCAGTAATGATAGATCTCAGTGGGTTTCTTGCATGTGCATTGAGTCTTGAGGAAGCCACTTTTCTGTTCAGCCCTTTCAAACTCCAGCTTTTCCAGCCCATCCAGCCTTGGTTTCATTATTCACTAGTAAAACCTAAGGTTAATGTAATTTTAATTAAGTTTGTCAGGATTTAAGTGTTAACCAGTATTTACTGTTGCTGAACTGGATGCTGAGGACAAGAATAAAAGGCTTTGGGTGTGTCTGTACAGACATTTTTGTTCTGATCTAATGCATTGACAGGACAAGAGGTTTTTGGACCAGTCTAATTCAACATACACCCAGCCTGGAAAAACTGGTAGAGGTATAAAAAGAAAAGATTAACAGATGGGAAGAAATAAAAATTGAAAAGGATAACGATCTTCTGTGATACTAGCCAAAATATCACTGCTGGCCAAAAAAAAAAGAGCAGTTGAAATTCTCCGGCCATAAATCTTACTGGTCTTCATTCGCTTCTTTCAAATATTTTATCTTTTTTAAATTTTGTTTCCAGGTGGAACTGACTGTAAGTCCATTGCCAGCTTTGACTGAGAGTGACGAGGTTTTCTGTACGTTTGGTGAAACAACCCACTCCGCTCAATTAAAAGAAGGGGTTATTATCTGTGATCCGCCCGATATAATACCTCCAACACCAAAAGGTCAAGGTAAAGAAATATTACTACCTTTCATATATAGTAAGAGGAAAGAACACAGCCTGCTGCTTCTAATGTGATTCTCTTATATGAGCTGCATACAAGTTCTTTTCCTCTTCCAGTCCCTTTCCCCAAATAGTCTACTGCTGAACTTTGTCCATTCAAACATTTGAAAAAAAAAGGTTTGCTCAAACTTTTTCCATCACTGTATTTACAAGCTGTAGCATTCCCAGTGTTTCTACCAGGAACCTGAAACAGGAGCTTGGCAGAGGCATAGACACAGAGCCAGAGAGGTGCTATTCTGTGTCCCAAACAGACGAAACTCAGCTTCTCTAATCTTACCCTAATCACTCTGAGTTGTGCAGCCAGAAGAGCCACATATGCACTTCAGATGTGAAGTTGTTCATCTCTGATGTCTTTGTTTTGCTCTTAGTTTAGCTGTAGTTCAGTGGCTTGTTTTCTGGTCCATGTCACAAGGCTGTCCTTTCTCTCATAAAGCCTTCTGCCTCTTCTACTGTGTGCCCTCCAGCTTCTGCAATAGTAAGTCCAGTGGAAAAATATGTGATCGTATAATTAAAGGCTGTGTCATTGTTCTGAACCACTGATTATACGCTTAAGATATGTTGCCAACCATAATTCTTGTGCTGTTTCCTAGATAGTGCTTTATTCATGCTTTAAGGTCATGCATCTTGATGCATAAACACATGGAATAAAACTAGTTACACAGCACAGTTTCTTACATATCAAGTTTAAAAAACAAAAAGAAAAAACAAAACAAACCAAAACAAACAAACAAACAAACAAAAGGGTGCTCTTGCAGCTTGCTGAGGTACCCCTGAGGACAACCCTTTTATATGTATCGCAACAGCCATGAACTGTCAAAGCGGTACTTGGAAGCACATTTCAAGATAAGTTTCAATTCTCTTAAGGCTGAAACGGGTCAGAATCCAGTTTTAGTTGCAGGAAGAGTAATGATGGTAAAATCTCACTCTTAAGTTTTAATCTAGCTGGGGTGTGTCACAGTATCAGATTATGCTAAGTGTTAAAGCAGCACTCCGTTATTTAGGGCCAATTCACATTCCCTAAATATTTTGTAAAGCAGGACATAAAGCGACCGGGTTGATACACGTGACATCTTGATGTCTTCCAGCATAAAATGTGAGACTAGAAGCTTGTCAGGGATGGCATTAGAGTAACCAAGTCACCTAGAAATAATACGCATCTCTGAGTTGGTTGGACAAGGATCCATCTGAAAAGATGTTCAAAAGTAATATAAAGATGCTCAGAAGCTTGGCAGACACTTCAGCAGAAGGCAGACAGTTACGAACCCAGGCAGTGGTTTCTGGCAGCATGTGACAAAAAGTCCTGAGCCATCCACTTACTGTTAAGGAAACCTATTGAGTTTGGAAAAGTCTGGGTTACTTTAGTTGTGGTTGGTTCCAAAAGGAACAGGACATTTCTAGAGAGGAAGGATGCTTTTTCACAGTCACGTTGTTAGGAAATCCGGGGACCCAGTGCAGGCAAAGGTGACTTCCAGCCAAGCAGCTTCTTTGAAGAACCTGTTCAAGGGAAGGAGAGTTTGAAAATGTCCAATAGCTTGTGAAATAGCTTGTCATAAGGGCTTAATGATTTCTGCAAAAGGTATTTCAAACAGCTTCACTGAGGAAAGCACCCGTTTCTGAAGATAAATTTTCCACTCTTAGTTCAGTAATGATCCAGACAAGAAGTACATTTGTGGAGAAGTCATGTACGGCAAACTGAAGATCATAAGTGCCTGTGGTAACTTAGCGTTGCAGGCACTGTTGGGCATTAACCACAAAGATCACTTGCTTTAATTCACATGACGATGACAGTTTTAATCCACAAATGAAACAAGTAATTTTACATGCAGACATATTCGTATTTAAGAAAATGTTTTATTTAAAATGACTGTTCTCGTGCCAGTTTTCATCTGTGTTCAATTATCTCCTTATTCAGTTTCTCCTTATTCTTCTAGACTCTTTAAAATTCTAGCATGATGAAAGCACCGCTGAGAAACACTTTTGTAAAACAAAGCTATTCTATAATTCTGCTTCTTCCCTTTATCCCATCTCTGCTTTTCTTCTAACAACCACGTGCTGAAAAATTTGCAAATCTTAAAAAGACAAAACAGATCTTGTAGATCTGAAGTATAACAGGTCATGAGATCCAGAGTGTCAACAGTATAGTTAAATATTTGCTTATGTCCTGTAAAATAATAAAAGTATTATCATTGTATCATTCATCTCAAGAGCTAAAGAATTCAACAACCACTTAGATAATTTTTTTTTCTTTTGTGATAGATCATGTTTCAGTTCCACTTCAGTTAACCTTTGGCAAGAAAAAGATATTTTTTGCATCACATACTTACCCTTTTTATGACTGTGAAGAAGCAATGTATCTTTTTGAAAATCAGCCGTAAGTATTTCAGCTTCTTAACTTAGGTGTTTATATCCTGTAGCACGGTGTTTCAGGTAACTAGTAGCTGAGTTACTCAATCATTTCATAATTAAGCCTTTGGCACTCTCAAAATTTGCCAGTGTCCAAATCCTTTTTCTTAGATTTTAATGGAGTTGATAAATGGTTGAAGGGCACCAGGTGAGCCGGTAACATAAACCATGTGGAATGGGAATATTTATGGCACGTATAATTAAAGGCCAGTTCATTGGATTGCCATTGCAGATGAGCTCCGTGGACATCTGCTTACCTACTTGTTCCCTCAAACATTAGATTGGTGCTTTGGGTTACAGTGCATTCAAGTGGGACGATCAAAGCTGACTCTGCCCCCATCATCTGCCCTGCTCGAGATGTTGCTGCCCCAGGGCAGGCGCAGCCAGCCCAAACCCCACTTTGTTCCATCTTACGTATGGAGGTTGATCAAGATCATTTCCAGTCCTCTCAGACTTGCCTTCAAAGTTTGTGTGAGATGCTGTAGATTTCTCAACCTTGTTCCAATATTTAAGGGAGAAAATAGCTTTTGGGGGTTCTTGAACTGTTCTTACTACGAAGTTTTCAGCTTAATATAGTAAGGACACTGTAACAGATTGATCTACCCTCCATGAATAAAGATGGAATTTCATTTACTTTTTTTGTCAATGGGGGAAAAAGCCTGACAGTTTGTCACGACTATCATGTTATATTTGTAGATGCTATTCCTGTGCAAGCAATAGATGGAATTGCCAGTGGGACTGGAAGAGACATATCTGTGAAGAGTCCTCTTCAGTACAGGATGTGATTAAACAAAATATGGTAATGTTTAAAAATAAGATTATTAGGTTTTTATTAGAACACTTCAATATTTTCTTTGCTTTTACTCTCTTATCAGTTGGTTGAATTAGGGATTTAAAAATGATTCTAAAGTTAACTCCAGAAGTGTAAGATTTTTCTTTAGTGACAGTGCGGGGGTGGGAATTTAAGGGTGTGACTGAGGAGGGGCAGTGAGACTGAATAACTCCTGAAAGGATATTTTTGTTCCTTTTACTATTTCACTTCAATGGGAGGAACAAGATTTCAAGGCTGGGAAAGATAATCACCCACAGCTTTGACATATGCTGCAGTCATTTTTAGCATGTCTAATTTGAAAGGGTGTAATCAAATCTGTCACTGTATTTTAAGCATTAAGTTCTTCAGAACAATCATTCCATTGTCCAAAGGCCAATGGAGCTTGTTGTGATAAGACTTTTTCGTTGGAATAATGTATAAAATATTTCTGTCCCCAGGAAGAAGAATGCCCGCAGTTTCTAAACCCAAATCTTCCAATAATACCTATGGAGTACCAAACAAAGGTGTATTTTGAGGGAAGACATCTAGCTTATTATCAGGTAAGAAGATTAATTCAAAGCTAGCTGTCATTTGAATTCCACTTAAACTGCAGCCACACCCCTAAACTAAATCATTAGTTTGCGTTCCTTGGAGATCCTGCTTGTAATTGTTTTTAAAGAATTGAAAATTGAATTATATTCAAGTTTGATATAATATTGTTTACTGTGGTAGAGTCATCACCAAGAGAGAATCAGAGCTGGGCAAAATATTTTCACTACTAAATGGGGGCGGGAGGGGCTGTTAAAGAATGTAAGTTGGACCTACTGAAACACTTGGCAATTATTTTTCATCTAATGAAATGAGAGGAGATTTAGGAATTGTGAATGTTTCATACCTTTTTTCTAATTAAATACTCACTTTTTTTCTGTTCTAGAATGACATCACTTGGTGTGCTTAATTCAGTTTTCACTTTTCAAACAAAAAAAAAGCACTCAGAAATTAAATGTTTCTTAGTTTTGATAAAACAATCTTTTGCTCTTTTTGTGTGTGTGTGTGTGTGTGTGTGTGTGACCGTCGAACCAGAAGATCAGGTATTTTCTCAGCTGTAACAAAGGCTTCTGTTTCTCAGTACTTCCTTCCAGAAAGTAAATTACAAAGCTTCTAAGAAGCCAGAGTTTGACTCCAAGCTTTTAATTGTTTTAAAACCTAGACAATGCATAAAATGTTATTGTTAGTTTGATAAAAAAGAAGCTGAAAAAACACTTCTTAGTTCTTAGTTTTGTTCTTAGTTTCCATTGTTTGTTTCTGTGTTGTCTTTGTGTAAATGCGAATTGATGATAGATACGCTGGAGATGGCATCGATTGCTTTAACTACCAGCCATCTATCAAGGGAAAGAAGGCTCTTGTTTTTTGAGGTTTTTTTCTTTCCTTTGCCAAATTGAAGTGCTGTACAGCTTACAAAGTCCTTCTATCACCTCTGCTATGCTGGCAAGGGATGCCAAAGGGTAAACAGGTCTGGAGAGTAACAATGTAAGAAGAGTATTCAGAGAAGGGTGAAAAGCAACCTGTAAGCACTACAATCATATGAAGACCATGCTGTGTATCACTACACTATACATGTATCAATACCATGCTATACAAACATATGTTCAAAAATAAACATTTTTGCTTCAAGACCTTAAAATATATGTAAACAAAGAAAAGCAATTTGGTGAATTTGATCTGTTCTCCAAGATGCCAGGACTGGTCCCTAGTAGGATGTCTGGCTATATGCAAGATGTGGGACACAACACTTGACCTAAAGGCCACAGCTCCCTTTGCTAAAAATGGAAAAGTATTCCAGAGAATTTACTCACATTTCTTTTGTTTAGCATTATGAAGAGCTGTTTTTCTGTACGAGAGGAAAATCTTTCCCTGCTCCCTTGATATAAGTGGAAGAGCCCATTCTCTCTCAAGAGCAAATTCAGGGCAGATGCATAATCTAGATGTGCTGAATTTGACATCTAGAGGAATCTTTTCCTCCAAGGAGGAGAAACAGCAGCAGGAATCAAAAACTCCTTCATCTAGTTTATCATTCTGTGAATAAGCACTTTAATCTTTCTGAACTACTAGTAGAGAAAAGGGAATGAAAATGCTTCTGCCCTTTTTTTTTCTTCTGTGAGGTATTAATTACATTTAACAAAGGCAGACACGTCCTGTGGATTGAATGCTGTGTCATAAGTAACAGTGTTTAACAGTTTGCCTACAGACCAGACCTAGTATGCATTTATTTAACTTGGAACTGGGAAGGCTTACATGGAATTGAAGTCTCTGTAAGAAGTAAGATGAATGCATAGGCCCTTGGCTGGAAAGATGCTGGAAAGCAATGAGTGTCAAATGATGTCAGAATAATTTTTCTTAGGTGAGAGCCATGCGAGAATGTCATCTCCGTCATGGGAGCAGCCCCATATATCCTGGTACAGAGGTGCATTTTTAAGCCAAAACAATAATGCCTTCGGTGCCAGGACTTGAATAGGCACACACAATGACTACAGCTGTACACACAGACCTCTAAGTATATGTGAAAACAGACAAATAAGGCATGGAATAGTTGTAATCGTACAGGCACTCATGCCTGTGGGGTCATGCTACCTGAAGCAATAACTTCGGTTACTGGAAGTTCACTTGAGTAAGGACATAACTTACACTCAGCCTTCGGTAAACATCTCGTGGAGGGCAGGATGGCTCAGGAGAAGCCATGGATGGATATTTTGTAGGAGTTGGCCCACCGCCCAAAGGCAAAATAGCATGTGGCTTCTCATGTGGAACAATTTTGCCACAGGATATGCTGGGCATTGCAGTGTGTTTGGAGGTAGCAGTCATGCAGCTATGAGCACATTTAAGGTCTTTATTGATTGGAACGTTGGTATATATCCATTTTCCTCGCCTAAATTCTTGCTTAGAAAAAGTGAATCAGCAAGAATGAATGTTCTGTTGTCACTTTGAACTACTAGCTCTATTATCTCAGTTTAATCTGTGCTTTGCTTTAAGGGGTGGTGTACAACCTACCTAATCATGGGTGACTGAGTGCACTAGCCAATATCATGCATATAAGCATCTCTGTTTCTAGGCGGAGATTAGCAGTGAAGGTTTGGGCTTATCCAGTGAGTAGGAGATGTGGATGGCTTCTAAAACTGCTATTGCAGAACTGAGGGTGGAAGAATAAGCTCACGCTTTTTGTGTGCGCCTCTTAACTTGTGAATGCTTACAGTATAATGAATAAATCTCGTCATGAGGGCTTCCACTGGAGGGAAATAGACTAAAAGAGGAGAAGCTGTCGGCTGTTTTTCTGCCCCTCCCTCCTCTGAAAGAATTTCAGGAGGAAAGAGAAGTAAATCCAAGCTGTTGTTGTTTTTCTCTTGGGAATAGCCTCATCAAGGACAAGCAGGTGAGAGGAAAGTTTAGTACTGATCAGTCATATTGCATGCAACTTCTGAGAGGCATTCTCCAGCTGAGTCCTTGAAAGACTGGCACAGTAGAAGAGACAGATGTACCAGCATCAAGATAAGCTTATTAGCCCTCCAAAGATTTTTGTTAAAAGTAATTTCCCATTTGGATTTGTCTTTGTCGTGTGTGTCTGATGTGTAACCTGTTTCCCAGTGTTTGCTACATGACGCTTCTTGCACCCAGACTGCTGAATGTGAGCTCTGTGGCCTTCTGCTCAAGAGCCTGGTACAGCAACTCCTGATTTCAGTTCACTCCAGGTGGCAGCTGTCACGCACACCAAAGCTCCCCTCCTCTCCCAGCGCCTTCTGTTAAGCGTGTGGGAAAGCCTTATGCAGCAGGAGCAGAATTTGAACACTTTTGAAAAATATATGATATATTGAAA